TCTTCATACTGCGGTGATAGGCTCGAGTACATATATCAATAATACAGAAGCCATTTCAAGATATAAAAGCACTTTCTGGATCTCGCCGCTCGCGCACATGGTCCGATAATTAGGTTCGTCGATGCGATATGCGACTCCTACTGGCAGTGGGGGGGGGGTATATGCATATGGTCAACTACATGTGTTGGTGACAATACGAAAGTTGTGAGGAGATATTGGAGAATTATCATATGTTTCTGTACACTTCTACCCAAATTCGCTTATAGCTAGCGAGGAAGCTCTTGAGCTCAGCTGAGGAATGCAAACGTATATTCCAACACTGAGTTATTGTCAAATACGCCTACAGTACCACAGCTCTCCCCGTATAACCTGTTTTATTATTCCACAGATCTTGCTGTACTCGCCCCGCTCTTCTGGAGCGATAGCCGCTTCCCCTGAGGTGGTTGTCATTGGAAAAGGAAGTCACAAAGCATCCTTTTAAATGAGGGATAGTTCAGAATATGCTCTTTGAACTGTTATACAAGGCAACCAGATACCCGAACTGTTATACAGTTGAAGGCTGTTATACAAGGCAACCAGATACCCGAACTGTTATACAGTTGAAGGCTGTTATACAAGGCAACCAGATACCCGAACTGTTATACAGTTAAAGGCTGTTATACAAGGCCACCAGATACCCGAACTGTTATACAGTTGAAGGCTGTTATACAAGGCAACCAGATACCCGAACTGTTATACAGTTAAAGGCTGTTATACAAGGCCACCAGATACCCGAACTGTTATACAGTTGAAGGCTGTTATACAAGGCAACCAGATACCCGAACTGTTATACAGTTAAAGGCTGTTATACAAGGCCACCAGATACCCGAACTGTTATACAGTTGAAGGCTGTTATACAAGGCAGCCATATACCCGAACTGTTATACATCAAACGGTGGTACACAACACAAGTAGAACCACAAACTGCTTGAGAATTATCCCAACTCCTTGGTTGCTGTAATTTACTCTACCCAATACAAGAGGTACCAATCGGACAATGCCAATGGGATGTTAGTTGTTAACGCCGACAGCTGCCTCATATATGAGACGTAGATGCATAGATCTCGCGTCTCGTCGTGTGCCACGAAATGTTTAGAACCAACTAAAGCGGTTCCTAGTAATATATTAGTGACGATATGAGAAATACTTGTTCATCATTGTCACTGTCAAGCGTAGCATAATTTAATCGGGGCATACTTGGATATTCATAGTCGAAATTGTTGGTATTGCTATTTTTCTTGTCGAACTTGCACAGGAAAGAGTGTAGCGTCATGGGACAGCACAGAGTGTAAATAGGTATATAAGCCGAATGGCGGGATCGAACCGCCGACCTTCAGTTTACAAGACTGACGCTCTACCACTAAGCTAAATCGGCATATTTTTCAAACTGATCCAGTCGACGGCGCCTATAATAGAGACAAGATTCCTTCAAGATTGAAGCGGATGCAGAACATTCACGATCATTCACAATGAAATACTTTAGGGAGATCTCCTTCAAGCCTCAATTACTCCGATCTTCCTCAATACTTTTTATAACAACCAATGGACTCCCCGCTCTTCCTGGGCTTCGATGTATCAACTCAATCATGCAAGGCAGTCGTGGTCGATGAGAATCTCAACACTGTCTTTTCTACCTCCCTTAACTTCGATAAAGATCTACCGCAGTATCACACCATCAACGGAGTGTAATGACGATCATCTTCTCGAGACCATCAATCACTCAGGACTCCCCTCAGGTCGATCAAAGACTCTTCAGGAGTAGCCAAGTCGCCCTCGGCGATGTTCTCCTCTGCACTTCAGCTCTCCATAGAGCGACTACGACGAGCCGGGTGCCCACTGAAGAGGTCGGGCTCGTCCATATTCTCTCAAAAGACGGTATTGGGTTCTCTTTAGGATAGTATGTATCAGCGGGTCAGGGCAGCAGCATGGTAGTGTCTACCTCGCCGCTACAGCGATCAATGGCCTACTACCTGATGATGACGATACTGATGATGATGAAGACCTTGGAGAATGGCAGCTCGAGCACGGCTTGTTCGCCATGAAAGATGGTGAACAGTTCATCTTAGTAGTAGTCGTCATTGCTGCCCGTAGGGCCCATCTGGATGGATACCTCTACCAGTGAGGAGTGTCGACAACTGGCACACTGTGTTGGAGGTGATAATAACTTGGCGAAACTCACTGGCTCGAAGGCATGGGAGAGGTCTTAACGGAGATCAATCACTCCTACACCCTACTGAATGTGGTCGTTCTTCGGAAGCCGTATTTTCCCATTTCAGGTTTACTGGCAATCAAATTCTAAAGTTGCGGAGACACTCACCAGAGGTATTCGATCGGACGGCCAGGATCTGCCTAGTCAGCAGCTTCTGCGCCGGTGTTCTCCTCGGACGCCCAACTCGAGTCGACTATTCCGATGCTGCTGGAATGAACATGATGGAGCTCTCCTCCCTAAATTGGTCTCGGCCAATATGCGACTTCATCGATGGGAAGAGCGCTGATGCTTTGACCACCAGACTGGGCGGTCAACCCGTGGACCCGATGGCCATCGCCGGGAATATTTCAACGTAGGAGTTCAGCTGATCGCCACTCGACCAAGTCTCCCTTGCTCAGGTATTGGCAGCATCGGTACGGCTTCTCACCGTCCTGCACTGTTAACTACTGGAGTGGAGACAACCCGTGTGCAGCCGTCGGGATGGGCCTCCTCAATAGTGGCGATATACTCGTAGTGCTCAGCTCTGGACAGAGGTCGTCTGAGTGATGCAGCAGGTCTCTTTGGGGACTAGTGACACGTGCCTCTGTGTGCTCCCTTCGATGCCCGTGTCACCACCACCATCAGCGTTCATATTCCCTCACCCTGTCAAGCCTGGATCCTTCATAGCCATGCTAGTGTATACCAACGGGGACGTCACTCGGAGGACTGTCAAGGGCAACAGGTGGTGTTTGATCGCTTTTTCGTTATATATCTTGTGAAGGGTCCCGAGTTCGATTCCTGGGTCATCCATTTTTAAGATTCAGATCATGGGATCAGTTTTCGGAGTCGATTCGAGCTAGCAGCCCTGGTAAATATCTAACGCTGTTCACGAGTACTCAGGAGATCCTTCCTGCATTACAAAAAGGTGATCCAATAACCGCCGAGATTGGAAATAGAGATGACGAGGTATTTTTTAATTTCCATACCACGCTTCTGTCGAATCGTCGGTCACAGGTTACATTCAGTCGTATCGAGAGCCTCCCAGAACACTGTGCTGAGTATTCCTCATGTCGAGCAGTTGTTGAGCAAAGAGCGTTATCAATGCGCTATTACATAAACTCTGAAGTGACCGGTTCGAGTACCATGAGAGGATTTCAGCGTGGGAAAATATGCACATGGTCAACTACCTGTGTTGGTGACAAGAAAATTGGAAAATTCTCTTCTGTACAATTCTACCCGAATTAGCGAGGAAGCTCTTAAGCTCAGCTGAGGAAAGCAAAGATATAACTTCCAACACTGGAGGGATTTCTATCAGGTTTCTCCGGGCATTCTCGAGCGATTCCCAGAGGGTAAACTGCTGGTCACAGGAGGCGGTAGCAGAAGCGAACAGATAAGACAAGTAGAGTATCCCATTGATTCGCTATTGTGGTTGGTATGGAAGTGAGTTCAGGTATTCTCTGACGTATTTGAAAGAAGTGTGGTAGCGTTGGACAGTCCTGATGCGGCGGCACTTGGTGCTGCTTATAAAGCAATGCTCGCTACGGCCAAGCTCAATGGTAAGGACGTTATCGATGAGAATTGGTATGATAGGGCGTTACAGATACTCTTACGGAGGGCGAGCGACTTTTGCGGAATCATATAGCAGGGATAGAGCAGAAATCAAAAAATCTTCCCGATGCGGTGAACTCGCGCATATATGGGCGCATCTCGGAGGGCTATGGAGCGTTTGAGAAGATATTGTGCGAGGAGCGTGGGAGATAACAAACTGTGTGCAGTTCTTTATATAGATCTTCTGTTGTGTGTCTAGTTTCTCAAGTAATGGTGTTTCGAGTTTAAGAGTGTTATCCGAACCTAGAAGGCAATCGCGCAACGATGAAATAACTGTATATTTCACATTATCCGGATAAAGGGGTGCGGTCGAAGCACTTGGGCAGTTGGGTAGACTGTACCTTCCAGTCGAAGGTACAGTAGATTACCAACAGTCTTGTCATTTTCACTGACATTCCCGTATAACTGGACTTATACTTGGGCGTATACCCGACTTCGCGGCTGACTTCACCACAGAACAGGGATCTTGAGAGCTACTGTGTGCCATCAGCATATGAGGCTACACAGTATAGTGCAACTGTGAGAGGAGCTTCACGCTCACTATGATGAACATCTCGGCTAGCGCGGGAACTTCTAATCGGACTAGCTGGGTATCAAAGGTCATAGACATGTCACATTCAACAAACACAATTTCGGTGGGGGGGATTGAATATGAGCCCTCCGACGAAATGGAGTCTTCTAGAAGCCGTAACGATCAGATTTGAAGAGTGGTCGCGGAGTGGAGTTCAAGACTACTGATTTTTCCTGAGCCACTTGAGATCCTCGTCACCAACCATCGTGTGATACGATGGCTGACTTCTCGGCCATCTCCCGGCTCTAATAGGCCGACTCAACAAGTAGTTACGCACAATGATGTCCATAGAGAACATCAAAGCATACCAATCCATTCGTGCATCGCTGCTATATGTGCAGCCTGGCAAAGCTCTATGGGCCAGTCGCACGTACACGTGTTTCGCTCGCCTGCGGATGCGTGCGTTTGCTCATGCTCGCCCTGCGTGTCTCGTTCCGGTTTAGCACACTTTCGTTGAGGTGACCATACCGGCGCAACGCTCCGCTGAACTTGCAAGTGTCGTTAGGAGCGCATCGGATTAAGATTGTCACATTCCTGTAAGCGAAACCTTCCATATAGCCTTGAATATAGTTGCTTGCACGCACGTACAGACGCGCGCGTGCTCGATATGATCCCAATTGTAAGATGCAGCCCCGCTCGCTTCGTAATCATGAATAGTGTGTTGAGGAATGAGTCGCCTTCCATCTCCACGTCGGTCCCTACCTCGTGACTCCCTAGCACTGGTTGCCGACTGCTCTCGAGTCCCCGATCGACGAGCGTGACACCGGTCTGCTAGCCGCGCCACGGGGCATTAGACCGGGACTGTCCTGACGTGACGTGACAGCAACATAAGCTTGTATTGGTCAGCCATGCCCTTCGAGTACTTGGGAACGACATTAGCAACGTGCAGGTAGATTGTTAGTGAGAAGATCATATGGCAGGAGCACTACAGTGCTTCTGCTCAACAGCATCTCTCAGACTCGCTTGCTCTATAGTATGGTATCGTGAACATAGCTGATTTTGTTTCTGATCCTCATGAAATCTATCATCGCCGTTACCGCTCTCTTTGTGGCTGCTAGTGAGTACTGTCAAGACGTTTGTGATGGTCATACGGCCTGCGCTGAATCAAAGTATGGTTCGTATTGCAAGGATAATGGTGTATGCTTCGGCCTCTACCACAACGGAAACGGCTACTGCTTCCAACCTACTGAACAGGATGCCTGCGAGGACTTCACTCTTCACCCAGTTACTTGTTCGAACCCCAAGGCTACTTGCCAGGACATCTGCAATGATATGCCTCAGTGTCGCGATTCAAAGTGGTCTTCGTATTGCAAGCTCTGGCAAAAGCCTCCGGTCTGTTTCGGTATTATTAAAAAGGCAGATGGCACGCTCTGTTTCACTCCTACGGACGAGGACTGCGAAGGTGAATCTCTTACTTGCTAGAGCTTCAATTTTTTCACCGTTTATAGAACGGCATTTTTCGATACAGATAATCGGGTTACATTCCCGGTTGACTATATGCAAGGGAATTGTGTTAGAAGTCTGGGCAAGTATCCAAATTTAGAGTTACTGTATAAGCCACTCTATCATGAACAATCGACGAAGTTTGCCGCAGCGAACATACTAAGATGATCACAACGAGTTCGACTCGTTGTAGTCTGATCGAACGTGTGCTATTGAGCCACCTTACGACAGAGTAGTCTCGGTCTCTTCTAAGGATGGTAAGAGTACCGACTATTGTGGTCGAGTATTATCCTATCGTGCTGTACGTACTAATCTATACCATTTTGCACTCCGCTACTTGCGAATGGTTTTTATACAGTTCGACACGTTTTTCGAGTCGAAAATGCATAAGTGCGCCCATCACATGATGTAATGTGAAGATGCGCTCTAATTGTGTAATTGTATCTTTTTATCCTTAGCTATGTAGCGAGCTAAAGGATCGCTTATTGGGTGAGAGTCAAGAATATGTGTTGTTACTTTTCCTTATGCCCACTACCTTGCGTTCTCCCAGTAAAACAGAAACCGACCCTGACATGGCTCCGATGCGGGGACTAGAGGTTCTTCTGTTAAACTGGATGGAGATACGTGTTTCTCTAGAAAAGGCTACTGATGATCTACGTGCGATTTTGCCGAAGTTTCCTTCTCATGGTGAAGGTGAAGATGGTGATTCTGCCTTTTATGATGAATGTGTTCGACAAGTTTTTCGTGCTGATCCTCCACAAGTAGTGTCTGCGTATCTGACTTTCTGGAATTTTGTTCACTCCGAAAGTCGAGCTGGTTCGATGTCTCTCCGGCAGGGGCTTCTACAGGACTTCTATTCGCCTTTCTCGATCAGTCGTGATGTTCTGTCACATGGCGAGTCTCTTCGACAGCGTCTAGATGAACAACTATCTGAGGTTGCTGCTGTTACTCCTCATAGTAACTTCCCGTCTGGTGCTGGTGCCAGTCGAGATGATGGTAATGGTGGTGTTGAGAGTGGTCAAAGAGGAGACGTCTTACAAGGTAGTAGGGAGGATCCTTCTTCGCCTTCCGCTCTTCGCAATGTGTCCAAATCACCGTCTTGGCTTCAAGCTTTACGTGATAAGGAAATACCTTGTGTTGATAACGGAACGTTGGATCCTCCTCAGAGGGCGACCTTACCCTTACCTACGGTGGGTGTAAATGGATCGACGTTGTCAACATCCATCTCAGAGTTCATTGCTGAATCTCAGAGTTGTGGTGACTTTGTGGTCACCCGGAAGGATGTGAGTCGTATTCGCCGAGATGCTAAAACGCTTGTGACTGCTGACCATGTAGATCCTTACCGTGGTATTGCGGATGAGAGACTATTCTCGGTGTGGTTGGGTCGTTTGCGCAGGAATACTCGGAAGAATGGGATATCAGGTGATCCCGTTGCTCTTTACTATTATGTGGTTGCAAGTGTTGGAGACACTTTAATTTCTAAGGTGCGACCTTGTGCCCCTGGTTCTGGTTCGAGTGGTCCCTTCTTGAAGGAAGTTGTACGTATCCTTCGTTGTATTGAAAAGGAGACTGCTGGCCTGTCATCGGAAGTGCTGCGATGGAACTCTGAACAAGCTTTTGCTAATCTGAAACAAGGCGGGTCTGAGAGTGTGCCGCATTTCTTGGATCGATTTGAAACTGGTGTCATCGACCTTGAGATACAGCTTAATCTACCTATTCCGGATGATAAGAAGCTGACACAACTTTTGCGTGGACTGTCTCCTCGTTTACGCTCGTTGGCTATTGAGCGTTTGGCTTGTGGTGATGTTGCGGCTACTTATCGAGGTCTCATACAGTACCTTACTCAGCGCGATCGGTTGGGTCAGGCAATACAGCCAGTTGAATCCTCTGTGGTTATTGATGTTGGGAAAAATCGTGGTCGACATCCCCTTAATGTTGTTACTACTGATAGTAATGGTTACTCTTCTCGGATCAATGGTGGTTCTGCCAGAGAAGTGTATAGTGGGGATAAGCAGTCTACGGGTAGTAGGCGACGGGCGATTTGCTATCAATGGCAGAGGAAAGGTTCTTGTCGATTTGGTGACCGTTGTAAGTTTCGTCATGATGGTCCTGATGCTTCTACACGGTCTGTTGACAAGAAAGATGCTGTTCATCATGTTCAAGCTGACCACACTGAGGCAGAGTCCAGTGAGTCCGATTCTGACAATAGTCCTATCAGTTCTGAAGATAATGTTGATGTCATAGGACATGTTGGGAATCAAAATGGCTTACCCTTTGCTCAACTTACGGTATCTGGCTATGGTGCCCTACCAGTATTGTTGGATTCTGGTGCTTACCGTAATTATATTCCTGATTCCTTGGTTAGAACTTTACATGGTATTGTTAAAGTACAACCTGGTGGTAAGGAGTCTGCGGCTCTAGCCGATGGTCAACCCATTGCGATACGAGGTGTGGTAGTGTTGGAAGGATTGAGATTTTATGTGATTAAATCTCAGCTCGACTACCTCATTCTTGGTGTCGATTCTATGCGTTACCTGGGTGTATCGTTGAGCTTTTCACCGAGTATTACGAAGACCATTGCTCTTGGGAAGAATTCATTTCTGACCATGGACGGTAGCGATGCTACTGTGGACAAGGGTACTCTGGCGCATCTCTGGTTCCCACATGCACTACCTTCCTCAGCTGATTTCTGTCTGTCTGATTGGAAGCCAGTAGAAGATGCTGAAGGATATGTATGGCACGTTAGGAGATTGCGTGAAGGGGAGGTTAAAGATACTGATAGTCAGAAGTACTGTATTGAAGTGTCCATCCCCACTGACCGTGAAAAGTTGGCATCTTTTCAAGGTGGTAAAAATTTTGGTACTGCTCTGTTGGAACGATTGGATCCTGCCGAACAAGATAAGTATGGTAAGGAGGTTGAGAAGTATATTAATAAGAAGTGGTGGACAGATTGTGGCCCTGCGGACAGAGTTCGCCCTGATGATTTGATGTGCTTCCCAGTGCGGGCCAAAGACGTTACTAAAAGTACGGCCTTACGACCCGTATTAGATGCCAGGAAAAGAAATATCTGTAGTCCTTTTGCTGGGTATCCAGGTGCTCCTATTGCTTCTATCTTGGACAACCTACGGTTATGTTGGAAGAAAGGGGCACGTCTTCAAACCAGGGACGCTTCTGCGGCGTTTTATCGAGTTAGGTTAACTGAAGCAAGCTCGGTTACGATAGTGGCTGGTCGAAGACGGTATCGATCTTCGAGACTTGTATTCGGCCTTCGGGCAGGTCCGTCTTGTCTGTGGGCGGCACTCACATGGATTCTTAATTGTGCTTTTACTCGGCTATCTGACTCCGAGCAGAAGCAGGTTAGTGGTGGTAATATATATCTATATTTGGATGATCTTACCTTTGTTTGGCCACCTGAAGTAATTGAAGCTGGTCTCAAATATGTCACCTTGGTGGAGGAAACTGCTCAGTGGTTTGGCTTTGAATTTCCTAGGTCTAAGGGTCATGATAGTGGTTGCGATCAGAGCTTCAAGCACTTGGGTCTACACTGGCATTTTCAAGGTGACGAGGTGGAGCTATCTTGTATCAAGCGTAACCTCTCTCCTTCCTTTGAAGTGGATGGTGCTCTGAAGGAAAGGTGGTCAGTTCGAGAACTGTATGCCTTGGGAGGTGTAGCTGGTGCTGGTAGTGATCCATGTCTGCTTCATGCCCGTGTTAGATTGGCCGGTGATATAGTGAGATCTTTGACTGCTGGTATTTTGCCTACTGGTGCTCCCAATGAGAAGCGAAAATGGGATACCACAGTCTGCCTTTCGAGTGGCTCTGACCGTTATAATATACTCAAAAGTTGCTATGATGTGATTAGTAATCATGTTCGTAGTACTTGTTGCCATCGGTTTTATGGTGCTCAGAGACTGTTGGTTTATGTTGATGCAAGTACCATTGGTTGGGGCTTTTGCATCTATGGACAGCCTCGAGTTGGCAACAAGTGGGGGTCGGAATGGTTATTTCAGGAAACAGCTGGTATTTTCAAGAAGCAACAAATGGTCCATCACATCAACAGAAAGGAGCTTTGGGCACTATCTCGTGCGGTAATTTGTTTACATTCGCTACTATTGAATTCCTTTGGTCGGCTGATTGTTCCTATTGAGGAGATAATTGTTCTATGTGATTCTCAAACAGCGTGTCGATGGAGTGTCAACACCCGATGCACGTCGAAGAGTGTGGAGAAGGTTGCTGTTCGTCGATTGTCATTCTCTATTCAAGAGATTATCGGTGACCTCAAGGAGGCTGGTGTACGATGGACTCTTAAGAAGGTCGTTAGCTCTGAGAACCGAGCAGATTCTCTTAGCCGTCTGGGGGTCGCATTAAAAGGCCTCGAGATAGTAGATGATGATCTTCCTGCTGTGTTTGAGTCCAGGTGGATATCGCATGTGTCACATGTAGCTCATAATGTGGATATTGAGCGTCTTATTCGTATTCAGCGTGAGTCAAAGCTCTATGGTGAGGTTGTGAAGGTGCTGTTAGATGAGAGCAATGATACTACTTCACCTGCGGTGAAGAAAGCTTTGGAACGGAAGCGGCTTCCATACCCCGGCATGCGAGTCTCGAGAAAGTCGAGACTCGCGTTATTCTCGTCTCGCGAACCAGAACGAGAGAGAATAGTGAGCTGTGCAGGATCGCGAGAACAAGCGAGAATATCGCGGGATTCTCGCCGAATCTCGCAGTCAGCTGTTAATGAGTTCTTCTGTAGCTTGTTCTCTGAGTTTGGCACTGCAACGGACATTTTCGTGCTATTTCATGTTTTTATGTCCCACAGACGCCAAACCGCAGTGCGAAGTCTAAATACATCCGCTATATGCAGAGCGACTGTACCAGAGACCTGCCGCGCTTTAAATGGCCTTGTTCTCAAAGGCGTACAATACCTCACACGTCGCGGATCATGAGACGGGAGTATCCAGTAGTTCTAACCAAATCTCTGCGATAAACATTTCGTGCTATAGTAATTTGCAATCTGTGATTTGTGATGGTAGTATTATATTATAGTATTATTATCATAGTATATACGATCATATTGATTGGTTGGTGTAGCAGGATGCCACTTGCCACCAAAGAGTTTATGGATTCTTATTGAATCCGCACTACCAACGAAAGACCTCATCGGAAGTCTGTGAACCTCAGTCTGACTACAGAACGCGACACGAATGAAAAAGGCTAGAACGTGATAACGGCTAGCTAATTAGTAACTTGGTGCTCAAAGTTTGAGCCTCATACTCCACTTTTGGCCAAAGCCCTGTGCCTATGCGGCACCTAAGGGAATAACATTTCCCGGTACAGGTATACGCGCCCAGATTTAGGCTGGCTATCAGGGATATGAGATAGCCATTGGGAAGTTCGGGTTGAGAACCAGTGCTTTTGATTGAGCGCTTTCCAGAGGCGGTAGAAAGTTTCTACTAGAAGTCCCAGTACAAGGGATTTTAGTAGTGGTCACTGTGTGATCAGCTGAGCCCGAGCCTTGGTCGTTGCCCAGATCATCGATGATGGCCGTGAGATCAACGAGACGTATTGGGGAGTCTTCACCTGACGACCTAGCCGGTTCCGGTAAACTTGAACGACAAGAAGGACTTTGCGGACAAGGCATAAAAAATAAGCGCTGCAAAGCGGTAATATCCTACTATGTAGACTACATAGCTTACCCATAATGTAGTTATCGTCATTGATGAGTCATCAGGGGTCCACTGGGCCAGTGGCACTGCAGCAGTGCTTCACAGTCACTATTTCTTTCCAGGAGAGACTTCCCGCGAAGGCTGTACGCGCGTCATATCATTTTCCGGCGTGCAATATTTCGGCTTAATGGCGGAGCGATGTCAGTTGAACCAATTTCCTGTTGGCGCGCACGTGCGTCGCCTGACGAAATATTCCGCGAAATTTCGCGAAATCTCGCGAGACGAAAACGAGAGAGAATAACGGTTCGGCATGTTGACGAGAATTCTCGACTATTCTCATCCCGCCAAAATGCCGGGGTATGGCGGCTTCGTGATGATGGTGTTCTACTTTCACTAACTTATCCTCACGGTGACCTTACTCAGAGTCCTAGGGAGGTGATTTTTATCCCAACGGACACTGAGGAAGGTTTGGCTGAGGCTCGCCGAGTTGTAGACGGATATCATCAAGCAACCCATTTCAATGCTCGATATATAAAATGACAAGTGAGCCGTGACTTTCATATTCCGAGTTTGGGCCGTATCGTTGGTGATATTTGTCGGCGATGTGACCGTTGTCAGTTGGCAGCAACGAGTCGTTTCTTCAAGGGAGCGTTTGGTCCTACCGATGTGGCTGCTCATTCGGTCTGGTCAGAGGTGGCTATAGACCTCTGTGGTCCTTTTCCGAGAGATTCCGATACCGGTTTTACCAGTGCTATGGTTTTAGTCTGCCTATATTCACATTTCGTCTTTGTTTGTGGGCTCAAAAACCAAGGAGGCGCTGCTGCTGCCGAGGCTATAGATAAGATTTGTGACGTGGTGGGTACCATGCGTAGACTTCGTAGTGACGGAGGAAGTTGCTTTACCTGTGCAACCTTCAAGAAGGCATGTGAACGGCGTCATATACAACATCTGGTGGTTAATCGCTATAGTCCGTTCCAGAATGGTGCAGCTGAACGAGCAGTGGCCGGTGTTAAGAAGATCTTTCGACTATTCCCTGAGATCGTTGCTCAGAGTGGTAAACAATCCCGTTGGTTCTCTCTTCTTGGTCGCTCTATCCGTCGCCTGAACGATAGACCTTTTTTGGGTTCTACACCGTTCGAGATATTCTATGGAAGGTCTCGTAATCATGAAGAGAAGCTCCGCTATGATGGTATCCCTCCAACTAGTAGTCCTGCTTTGGCTGATTTGAATGACCAGAGACAAGCAGTTCAGGAAGATTTTGAACAACAACGTGAAAGCCGTCAACCTGATCGCTCTTATCGACCCCGCTCACTCAAGTTGAAGCCTGATCAACGTGTGGTGATCTATCGTTCAACTACTAAGCCTGGTCATACTGGTGGTACTGTTAAGAACGTGGTCTATAAGGTGTTGTACCAGAATGGAGTTGATGTCTGTCTCCGTCCCATTAGTGATCAATCCTTACCGAATCTTCCAGGAGAAGGTCCGAGGGATACTGTAGAGCATGTGAAGAATCTTCGCCCTTATTATGCTTGAGCGGTATCAAGCTTATGGCGAAGAGGGGGTCGAGTTGTAATGTGAAGATGCGCTCTAATTGTGTAATTGTATCTTTTTATCCTTAGCTATGTAGCGAGCTAAAGGATCGCTTATTGGGTGAGAGTCGAGAATATGTGTTGTTACTTTTCCTTATGCCCACTACCTTGCGTTCTCCCAGTAAAACAGAAACCGACCCTGACAATGACAACTTCACCAACAAGAAGAACGCTCTGCTGAAAGACGCATAGAAAAATGAGACACAATGCGCTAGAATAAAGTGCATGATATTCATTCCACGATTATCTACAACTCACCGCCCACCGCAAGGCCAGGCCTTGAAGGCCTTGCTCCAGCATGAATTTTCTAACCAGTAGCGCAGCGTTTCTTCCGGATATGCAGGCAGTCTCCAAAGCACTAGCAGCACGCTCCATAGGCGATGTAGCGAAGACACCACAGCCAAGGTCGAAGGATAGGGGCATCTTCCCAATGTGGTACTCAGGGTATGCTCCTGCGTGCCAGTCATATACCACGCTCTTGGGACTTTTCGATGACGAGGGTCTGATAAGGCAAATCACCGTAAATCGACGGCAACGTGCTGACAAAAAAAGAATCGTCAGTGTTGGAATATATGTTCGCTTTCCTCACCTCAGTTCTGAATTTTACTTACGAATTCGGATAGAAATGTACAGAAGCCACCAATAATTTCCAAAAATTTTCCCAAAACTCCCCTATTTTACCAACGGTCATGTGCATATTTTCCACACTGGAATTTGCGCACTAGACAAATTGAGAACGCTGACAATCTTACCGTTCAATCAGAGAATCTATCTCAGGTTCAGTGAGCGGCCTCTCAGCGAAGATCTTGAAGACGCTTTCCTCCCCGCGTGATAATCGCGCCACGATCTCCTTGGCTTCCTCTGGAGTAGCGTCGACCGGTATCTAAGATTGACACCACTGCCAATACTCAGCAAATATAGGCAGACCACTGAAAAAATTTGCAAATAAAAAATAATAACAAGCCGCACTTACCTGGCATCCGATAGCTGTCCATGGGAGATCTTCATCGGGTTCGTAGGTCAACACTCCAGCAAGGCTTATAGGACCCTCACTGAAGACGAATGAACTACACCGTATTCATGTTCACATTAACAATTGTGGCTCAGCTGAAGGGCGAGTAGGCTATGCAGTAGGCTACCCCCGGAGAAAAAATATCCAGAAATTTTCCCAATCTCATTCGCTTTCGATTTCGCAAGGTGCCTCGGTTTATGCCATAAACCGCATAGTCATTAGGACCATAAACTTTATGGTCCTAATGACTATGCACAGTGCTGGAAGAGTATACGTTCACTTTCTTCAGCTGAGCTCAGGAGTTTTCTCACTATATTACGAAAATTCACACGAATTCAGGTGAAGGTGCACAGAAACCAATAAGCACCTCAGAATTTAATACTGTCACCAACGCATGTAGTTGACCATGTGCATATTTTCACACACTGACTTTGCACGGCTTGCCCACCAGATTCACCTGTTGACGATACTGGGCCTTATTTTTCCCTTCGTGAAGTGACTAACAGTACGGCACATACTGTGCCCCTCTGTTTGTAGGAGCCCTAAAGCCTTGCGAGCGTTGCGCGAGCCGACAACGTCGATGCCGCTGGACTCCAGGGGACAAGCTATGATGACTGCGTGATAATCTCGCACCTCTGAATCGTTGTAGTGGACCCTCACGCCTTTGCGCGCTGAAATCTCTGCGGAAGAGAAAAGTGTGGGAAAATATGCACGTGGTCGGCTACATGTGTTGGTAACTATATGAAAATTCTGAGGAAATTTTGGGAAATTATTGTTGGTTTCTCTACACTTCTACCCTAACTTCTTCAATCAGTGGAGAATCCCCTGAGCCCAGCTGAGGAAAGCGAACATATATCCTCCAGTCGAGAATTACGCGAGATAATATTTTCACTAGTATCAAAAACTATCCTTTATTTATCAATTCAAATCACTGAACAAAAACCAATCTAAAATTTATCTACTGACATCTCCCAAATTAATGAAGTTTCACCCGCTTTACTCGCAGTGGCGTATCAATCGGTGAAAAACCCGAAATTCGCGCCACGCAGAAATATGTCGTGAAGTATGTTTTCCACTACTGTTTTTCATATCACTAGGGTGAAACTCCAATACACAACATGATTCAACTCTAATTCTCGTTTCTTACACTATAGGTCATTTACAAGCGCAAAATCTGGGCGAAAATTTCCCCCCCGTCTCCAAAACGGGGCGACTTACTCTGAAGAACCTCCACTTTGAATACCCTCGCGTCACATACCACTCTGGCCGCAGATTCGTCCAGGCATTTACAGGGGACCTAAATTACACAACAATGTAAAGGCGAAATCAACTTATTCCCAACCTGCTCATTGCCACCCACCACCGAGAACAGGGAGCTCACGTCGGTACCCGCCATACTTACAGTACCACAAAAGGCGTTCAAACACCTGCCGGGCTGACGATAATTACAGCGCGTACCTGGGAGAAAATCGAAACAGAAGGAAAACTAGACGGTAGTTCACCAGCATTGACGACTTCCTTCACAAGTTTTTCACCAATACCGCATTCCCTCGTCAAGTAATCGTCAACCTAAGTCGCCGATATAATGGGTGAATTGAGAGGAAATCGCCGTACTGAAAGGTCCAACATGGGAGCCAAATTGTCGGTAGTAGTGCCGAGGTTCTGAAGCATCTCCTGTGGGGACTCGTAGGCAACTCCTTTCCTCTGCTGCTCATAGATCATCCCGAACTTATCCACGCCTGAACAAAGTCTCTCAATGTGTCTTGCCAATGGTATGCTATTATCGATAATACAATCTACACGGTGGTGCGAAAAAAGGACCCTCGTAATTTCACAGTTGGTGAACAAAAAATTGTTCATCGCAATTTCTCTATGTAGGCGATTTCGCTTGTCCCTGCACGATACGAATATCACAACTATTCATACAGCATTGGAGAGAGCTCCATGAGGGCTTTCACCTACTGATACCTCTTTGTTCACCAACTGTCACGTGTCGCGCAATCACGAGGGTTTCTCCACAGCGCCCTGTATTACTTAGTAGTATTATGAATATTATTAATCTAGGTAAAATAACATATTAGACTTATAGCGTACCAGTACGGGAATATATGTTTGGTTTCCTCAACTGAGCTCGTAGGTTTCCTCACTATTTTATGAAAAATCACACGATAATTTGGGTAAAAGTATACAAAAATCAACGATAATTTCGCAAAATTTCCTCAAAGTTCCCATATTCCTAGCAACACGTGTAGTTGACCATGTGCATATATATCCCCACACTGTACCGTACACTGTTGTAAATATATATGTTCAACCCCATTCACGGGCACTACCGACTTACACCTTTTCACAACTCTTTTCAATTCGATCAAGTTCAACAACCCATACCGGTGAATCAGCGCTATTGTATCGAAAATCTTGTCGCCGCGCAAACGGAACGATTGTTGCGGAGTTGAGCCTCTCAGAACTGAGCCTAATCATGGAGACTATCTGTTAAAAATCGATATACCAAAATGCTCACCAACGCTCGACATAGCGATCTTTCTTCGTTTCAAACCAAAGAGCTCACAGAATGCGACGAAATACGCGTTTTCTTGGTGAGCCACAGCGGCGCCAGCTTCATATCTGACGAGCATTGTAGGATGGGTATCAGGAAATCATCCAGGAACCTATATCGTTCCCGGAGGGACTCATTCTGGATTTTCCACGTATGGCTAGGGACACATTCATCAATCAGTTCCCCATGTAAATGTCATCATCACATTAGCAACATTTTCCCCATTGTTATCAAAACTAGATAGTTCCCTGATGAGTATTCTAGTACGCGGAATATGTTTATCTTCATCGTACCATCCATATCATAACCTAGCTTAAGGGTTATATATTAGATTGTAATAGTTGGATCATCACCTTGCTCTACTGTTGAGCTAGTCTGACGGCTACCTTCATAGCACGGCTTCGGGTGCGTACAAGTTCGATCGACTACCCCAGACAGTCGCTTCTCTTAGCTGAGTTCAGGAGTTTCATCACTAATCATGGGAGTTTACATGTGAATTCGGGTAGTAGATGTGTACGAAAACCAATGACAATCTCCTCAGAATTCTCAGATTGTCACCAACACATGTAGTTACCAAGTGCATATTCCGCCCTCCCCTCACACTTACCCGCGACCGTCGTATTGGACCACATGAGCCCGACCACCACGATGATTAGACGCCTCGTAAACATCTATCTCGACAGAAGTTTTATCCACGAACATATGTTTGCAAAAGTATCTAATTTGAAAATAACGGAACAGTCTCGCCAACATAGTGTAGCTACGCAGCGCTGGCTCCAGCCATCCCAGCACCGATGATAGCAATGGTACAGGGAGATTCTTTTGGAGTGACGAGGACTCCAGGAGGCCAGCGTAGGACAGCTTTAAGGTCTACACCGGGAGGAAGTTATGCGACAGTTGCGTGGGTGATGAACACGCTCACCCTTGCGAGTGCCAATAGCCCATCTGGTCGCTATGAACACAGCCAACAGTGTGACCAACGCGATTACAATGGTAGTTGCCGGAGAGTCTGTATGCGATTCCATGTATGAAAACCGGGGGAACCCTAGATCCCCTTCCAACTCTGAAACACCCATTCGGATCGTCTCAGCTCAGCCTCGACTCATGACACACTCAAATCGATAATCTACGACCACCGCTATTCCACCACATCGCTAGACCCAAGACCCTAACAAGAAATCTACACCTCCTATTGACAGCGTTGTAACACGACACGGCCGAAGATGTGGGAAGAAGTAGAGTATTTTAGGCGAGACCAATACCGTACACTTGCGAGCTGAAATGTTTCTTCTCGTGAGCCTCCGCTTTGGCTTGTTTCTGAAATACACCAGTAAAAAATAGAAAAGATTCAGCGCTGCATGCTCCCACCTCCGATTCGTTTTTCCTGTTGATGATATCAGCGGCCGAGTTGCAGATGCCTCCTGTGTACTGCTGACACACAGGACAACGATCCGTGCACTTTGCGAAGAAGCAAGGCTGAAAAAATGAACAGATATCACACATATTTCGGATACCATGGAGTTTCACTCGTTTAACGTGAAACGGCGTAATAAATTTAAGAAGTGCATGTTCTCGTGACCGATTACACAATTATTTTCCGTGAAGTGAAGAGTGAAATATGTTTTTCATATCACTAGCGTGAACTCCTATAATTCTTACCTCGCAGAAGTAGTGGCCACACGTGGTGACACTAGGCTCCACACACTCCGCCCATTTCTTTCGGCAGATGTAGCAAGCGAACGGTATCTTGTCATCGTCGTCGTCATCGTCGCTATCAGAGTCGCTACCGGACGACTCATCACTGTCGGAACTCGACGAAGCATCCGATACTTCCTAAAGACAAATCAAGAGATATGCCTGTCGAACGGTGGGAAGGCTATGAGAATAATAATCAAAACTCCCGACTGAAAAAGCATTATTCGCATACACTTTCATGCATTATGACCTTCGTAATACTCTCTATTTCGAGATGGAAACTACTCTCCATTTCGAGATGGAAACTACTCTCCATTTCGAGATGGACAATCACAAAAGCTCACATGAACACACGTACGCAAAGAACAAACTGTGGGCAACATGACGCTGCCATGACGGCACTCAATTTCATAGGCGAAAATGAGCCAATCTCACCTCCGCGTCACCGTTAGCTGCTCGCTGTGCTCGCTTCTTCATCTGTCTTTCGAGACGTCTCTGCATCTTGGCCTCATTCGCCTTCTTTTTTTCCTCCCACTCCTTTTCCAATTGCCAACCTGATCAGTGCTCACCGTAATCATCAACCAACAGCGTTGGAGAAAAATATGTTCGCTTTCCTCAGGAGTTTCTTCACTAACTATAGAAGTTCACGTACGAATCCGAGTGCAGAATTACAGAAATCAACGTGATTTTCCCGAAATTTCCTCAGAATTTCTGTCAACATTTTCCCACACTGTCAACCAACTTCACCAACATATCGATAACCAGTGTTGGAAAATATGCACATGGTCAACTACATATGTCGGCGACAATATTAAAATTCTGAGAAAATTTTGGGAAATTATTGCTGTTCTCTACATTTCTACCCGAATTCGTATGTAAACTCCTGAGCTCAGCTGAGGAAAACGCACATATATTCCAACACTGGTCAATACTCACCGCTCTTATAGTCACTCCGATCATGAAGATAGATGCAACTGTCACCAAATCCGCAATATCCTGTCTCCTTGTAGTCCTTACAAACGTGAGGTTGGTAATCGAACACACAGGAGACTCTAGCGTTAGAAGAAGCTGAATAGAAAAAGATTCAAAACATGTCCAAAGAGACTCCATTTTAGCTCCCTACCCCTATTCGGGCCCAACGCACCAGTCAACTTAGTGTTCGCTCTCTTGTGCTCATCTGTTGGAGTGTACCTGCCACAACCAGCCGATCCGATCGCGATCAGAAGTCATCCGCTCGCTACTTTCTGCCAGCGTTGAGTCCTCGATAAAGTCCTTCAGCGAGTTCACCATCAACTATCTTCTCCTGAATCTTCGCATTTCGTTCATATCTGACGAAAAAAAGTTTCCCAAGTTGTGGAGAATTCAAACCTACTGGGCCCTGGCATCTCCAATTCTGTCTGATTCGGTGTCCAACGTTCGAGTAGCATCCTGATTCAACAATTGATGCACTTCGAAAATTCCAGAGGATTTCCTCAGAGCTTACTGATTGCGAAGAGACTTTTTTGCCCGCTTTGATCTGAAAGCCCTGCCACTTGCTGTCATCAGATGACTGAAGGAAAAACAGCTCATAATAGCGAACTCGATAAGGGCAACGTTGTGGTCGGGACAGTCGCCGGTTCGATCCCGGCACCTGTTGCTTTTCCCGTAACTCACCTTCGTTGCAGCCGTCGATCCAGATGCTATACCACTCCGATGGGACTTCTCGGGAATGATGAGCTCCCCAGTCTTCTCTTCCGTTTCCTCTTCCTCAGCTGCTCTCCGTCGCTTCCGAAGACTCTCATTGTGACGATTGCCGCGAGATTTGAACATCTCGACAAGTCAACTACCACAATTCCCCCAATTCCCGAGAATCTTCAACACGACGACATTGGATTCGAAAAATGTCCATAACAAACACAAGTGCCCACTTCAAGTCCGCTTTATCCCTTCAGTGTAGCTCACTTTCAAATGACTAAGATTGCTCCCCATTTGCGAGAAGAAACTAGCAAAGTCATAGGGCTTCGACGCTCCTACTCTCCCCTCCTCTGTTTTAACACCAGCAGACGGTTCCACTGCAGTTTTCGGTGTAGCTGCTCGAGTTGATAATCCTGCCCGACCGCTTGCTACCGGTAACGTCGAAAAACGCGCGATGGATATACTAGCAAACGCTGGCTCGGCGTCCACGTTGGTCGCGACTAAAGGTTCCTCATCAGAGCCTCCTTTCTTCCGCTCGCCTCTCAATGGTGCAAATAACAGTCCACTTCTCGAGTCCTCAAGGCCACCATCAAGATACCGCACTATTTCACCTCTATCAGGCCATTTCTCAACCGCGCGCGCCCTGATGATCGATAACACTCGACTAGTTGAACTTGACCCTGCCGACAACAAAGCGGAAGACACCCTCCAAGCCGTCTGGTAGGCCGTCTCCTCTTCAACATGTGCGAGCAAATCCTCATCACACCATTCGCGAGTTGCCTTTTCGCACACTCTCTGCATCGCTTCGCTAAGCCCCTCGTCACCAGAAACTGCGGCCACTATAATCCGTCCTACCCCATCATCAGGCCGACATGCGAACGACACCAGTGCTGAATCATCACCACTAAAACAACTGCTCGAAGCCTCTGAAGATACGATATGAGAAATATCTTTCTCCGCGCACAGCGAAGAATCTTCCTGATAGCCCAATACAGCGCTACTATAAAGTGCCACAGCTCGTACGTCTTCAAAATTGCCTCCTACCAAGTTCGCAGCCAGAAAGTCATCGCATCTTTCAGATAGCCATTCAGCAACTGCATCGGTTACCACAGCGCGAGGTTCTCTCCACAGTTTACTATCGCACGCGGAAGATTCTAAAGATTCCACCAAAGCCTCTGTCAACTGAGTCATCCCGTCGGACTTGGGCAACCCCCTCTTGAGAAGCGCCATCCCAGCTCGCTGAAACGACGACTCCAGAGCCGGCCATAGTATTAGCTCCGGCTCAGTGGCACTTCCAATGAAGGTCCTCATATACTCTCCTAATCGATCACGTGATCGATTTCGCAAGGTCGTGAGGTCACCCAAACTTCCGCATTTTTCCGCCTCCCGAGCCACGCTATCCAAAACCGCCTTCTCCCACTCCTGCTGTCGCTGCCTGTCAATGCTAAAATTACCGCGCGCCTCAAAATTCTCCACCCCCATAAAGAGCCCATTCTCCTTCGCGCAGCTCATTATTGAATCTATGCTGCAGATTCCCGAAGACGCAATCCTCAAAGTCGCCTCTAATGCGCAAACCCGATCGATAACGGAGTGACCAGCGCCCAGTATCAAACCCTCTCGAGCTTCCAAGAGCCTCTCTACCAGCCGATCCATCGCTTCTTCAGTGAACTCTCCATCGCTCTTGTCCATGAGCATCAGGACTGCAACACATTCCCTCATCTCAGCTGCCGTTAATTCCAGCGAGCCCAACGCCTAAAGAGAAGTGAACTGCCTTCAGATCGGAATTTGAAATTGAGGTATAGACTTCAATTTTGAAATTCAATATACGAGCCTACACCGTTTCAATCTCAAAATTTCAAAATCAATTTACTTCGGATTCACAATTTGCCGTTGAAAGAAATTTCTGCTAGTGGATATTTTTCCGCTTGCGCCTCATTAATGGCGTGCACTACCGGTGCCGGCTAGTCGAGGAGAATATACCAACACCCTTTGCCTATCCGCGGCCTACCAAATCAGTAAAATTCTAATACTTATCATATATACAGTCCGAATATATTTTACCCCTCCGCCCTCACTTGTTTGCACGTTAGCACTATCGTTTCGGGCACATCCCTCCCGGCCTTATCCTGCTGCTGTAGTAAAGCTTCAACCGGCAACTTAGTGTCAGGACACTGAGCTCTCAGAGAGGCTATCTGCTCACGTAGCTGTGGTAAGTCCACCAGGTAATACCTAATACATTGGAGTTTCACCACCCTAGTGATATGAAAAACACTAGTGAAAAAAACATATTTCACGACTACTGCATATCACCGCGCATATCGCCTTTTTCATCGAGTTTTACGCCACCCTACGTAAAACTGGTGGAGCTCCATTCTAATAGTCCCCCCGCATACACATGAACAACCACAGCAGCCTTCCTATGATGCTACCGAGCCGCTCCAGCAAAGTCTCTATCCTCCATCTTCCTCCACACCTCCTCCATCATAGCCAACAGCCTCTTCAGCTGCCTACCGAGCTCAAGCTCTGGAGTCACTTCTACGGGTTTCTCTTCCACATCCTCCCAACTCGGTGGTTCCACATCACGAGTAATGGCCAATTCACGACTCTCACCAGCAATTCGGGCCTGAGCACAGCTGAGCTCGATAAGAAAACTGCGATGATTCCGATTACCATATTCTCCATAAGCCGACTAATACCAAAATGCATCATTTTCACATTCTCAGTGCACGTGATAAGATCCCTATAGTGCTCAGCAGTAACTTGCCGCAACTCCTCTCGCTTCTCCGCCGCTTGCAAGCGCGTTGATGACAACACCGACCGAGCCGTCGTGATAGGATAATTCCTAACCATCCAAACCACCACTGATTTAGCCTGTTGATGAACGCTTCACATCTGACTCGTATAGCTCTGTTTCCAGTCTACTAGTCCTCCTCCCAGTGTAGGAAAATATCAACATGCGTTGGTGACAATATAAAAATTGTGAGGAAATTTCGGAAAATTCTTATTGGTTTCTGTACACTTTTACTCCAATTCATTGGTGACGACGTAGCTCCTAAGCTCAGCTGAGGAGAGCGAACTTATATTCCTCCAACACTGCCCAAGGTAAATGAACGTCCATGTCGGACTCCCTGTATAATTCTCTTTCGAAAAAATCTACTACCTGAACAAGTCGTCCACAGTAGCCACATTGTGCAATCGCATCAGGGGAGCCGCTCCTCTTCCGCTGTCCACTCCTGGCACGCCTCCTCCCTCAGCCATCGAGCCCCTCCTCATATCTCCGACAACGCTAGTCATCAGGACCGACAAACTGTCACGTTACTATCCTTTCCCGAACACAATACTACTAAGAGCCATTCTGATGGAAAAACCGATAAACCAGGTCATGTCGTGTTCAAAGACAAATGAACACATTTCATAAACTGCTCGAAAACACGCCTTCTTCCGGAGACCTAACTTCCAGCATGGTTATAGTCCTTCCCACCTCAGTAGTCGCTTCTCAACACCCTCATCCACCGTCTTCAACCGCCTATGTTGGTTGAACCTTCCCAGCACTGAGGAACGCAATACGGAAGGGAGAGTGGAGATTAGAACAAAACCAACTTGAGCCTAACGCCTACGGCTCAACACGGACTCATGCGTGCACACTATCACCAACTCGTTATTGATTGCATATATACCACGCTACAGGAGTCCCAAAGATCATCAAAACCAAACCAAATATCTGTCATCACCACTGCTTGACCAACCGTTTCTGATCCGATGGGCAGCCGCTAACTTACAGATCCGACCGAGCCCGGGGTCTGGACACTATCGAATTTCTGATCCGTTCATAACTTCTCCATCGCAGTAGTATCACCAACAACAACATATTTGATGTTCAATCCCGCCGACAAGGACCGCCATAATTAGCCTCAATACACTCATGTTACATCCCAGCACCACTCGAGCGGGAGGAGGGTCTTCTGAACGCCAACCCGACACAGTCTGAGATCACATAATTTCCGAGCTGAAGGCTGATGGTAAGGAGGCCCGTCACACAGCTCACTAAGGGCGGCACCACGAGAAGATCCGAAAGCCCCCTAATCATGATCGGCCATCATCAGCATCACAGTAACAACCTACTACATATCACATGCCTCCAGAGCATAGGAGGCTACTCTTGGACGTCCGACCTGCCATGACCATACCAACAACAACAGAGCTAATCATCCACACTACAACAGAGCCTCCCTTAGCAAAACAATTCTATAAAGTCCACCGAGACACCAGCTCCTAGTAGGTGTACACCACTATATTTACTATAGATATTACTAATAATATGTTCACTAATATTTCATAGCTTAAACTCTCTGCCATGTAACACACTATCTACCGATCCACACCCGGGCTCAGACAGTGACTGAGCCTGCGGCTAGGCCTCTATATTGGTCGAAGGGGTGCTGCGCGAAATCGAATAGTTGATAATATACTACATATAATATAACACAGTTTTAACTCTGATAAATAGCCTCCCTTAGTGAAACAAATCTATAAAGTCCACCGCAGTGTGGGAAAATATGCACATGGTGGACCACATATGTTGGTGACAATATGGAATTTCTGAGGAAATTTTGCAAAATGCTTGTTGATTCCTGTACATTTCTACCCTAGTTCGTATATGGACTCCTATAATTAGTGAGGAAACTCCTACGGTCAGCTGAGGAAAGCGATCATATATTACAACGCTGTTCCACCGCGATGCCAACTCCCATAGGAGCCGCCGATGCCCATGAATTCATTCCAACTCGACAAACCGGCTCCATCCTGGTTGTGAACGTATGCACAATACCCCCAACGACAGAAGTATGGTAGAAATTCTTAGGAACAACAACAATAGAGGATTTCCTACTACACTGAACATAAAGTGTATAATAGTTACCACTCAGCTGCATACGGTTTACTCAGCCTCCTCCTTAGGAGCCTCCTCATCATAACCATAGGGATTCTCACTCTGCCATCTCCAAGAGTCCTCCATGACAGTCTTCATATCACGAGTGGCTACCCACCCCAACTCCTTCTTGGCTAATGCTGGGTTGCAGATGACACTACCCAAGTCGCCAGGGCGACGAGCGACGATCTTATATGGAATCTTCTTCCCTGAAGCCTCCTCGAGACCATGAATCATCTCCAACACACTAGCGCCACGTCCAGTACCGAGATTATGGATGTGCGCACCGTGAATATCATCGCGTAGTAGGTAAGTAACAGCAGCAACATGAGCATCAGCTAAGTCCATAACGTGAATGTAATCACGAACACCGGTTCCATCACGAGTATCATAATCGTTGCCGAATACATTCACACAGGGACGACGGCCAACAGCAACCTGCTGTACGTAAGGCATCAGATTGTTAGGGCGACCATTTGGTGACTCGCCGATGAGGCCGGACGGATGGGCACCAACAGGATTAAAGTAACGGAGTAATTCCACCTTCATATCCTTGTCAGCAACACACACATCTTCCATGATTTGCTCGGTCATCAGCTTAGTCTGTCCATAGGGGTTAATGGGCCCGAGGGAATCAGTCTCAACAAGGGGCCTCTCCTGAGGCTGGTAAACAGTCGCACTGCTAGAGAAAACAACTCTCTTGCAGTTGTTGTCAACCATAGCTTGCATGAGGTTGATGGTGCCCGTGATGTTGTCGTAGTAATACATCAGAGGTTTCTCAACACTCTCACCAACAGCCTTGAAGCCAGCAAAGTGAATCACACAATCGAAATGCTCAGTGGAAAAGAGCTTCTGCATGGCCTCAGCATCACAGCAGTCGAGCTTGAAGAAAGGCACGTCCACACCAGTGATAGTCTTCAGACGCTCAAGGACGATCGGGTTGGAGTTGGACAGGTTATCGAGGATAGCGCACTGCGAAGAATAAAAGATACCACTAGGAGGACTATGCGACGCTTACATCATAGCCGGCCTTGAGTAGCTGAACGATGGTGTGCGAGCCGATGTAACCCATACCACCAGTGCAGAGCACGCGACCCTTGGAGCTCGCTGAGACGGCCATTGTAGGAATAATAGTGACAGATCTGGATGAAAGGAATCCAACGTTGAACCTTGGCTACTGGGGCTTATGACTAATTCTCAAATTCAGAATTGGTGAAACCTGTCAATTGATTCAATTCCAGAAATACCGGCGAGTTCCACAAGTGATCGATTAAAAATCCTAACAGTCTCAAGTCGATGAAAGATTACTAACCACATGGCCACACACACAGTTGCTACTAAGCCTAGCAGACAGGTCAAGCTACGTATATTTCAGTTCCCAACTTCAGAAATGCGGAGCGAAGCGATTCATATTTACCAATTTTCGTCGGGACGGAGCGAAGCGATTCATATTTTCCACTTTCATTTGGCGAACACTCGTCGACTTAATCTTGCGTTGTTTTTCAGAATATGATGTATAGCACGGCCTCGATGTGCTGATCCGATCGACGGTACTCCAATTGTATTCTGTTGGAGTCGTTCAGTTAACCGCCCGAAATGTGAAAGTAAATTTTTGACGTTTAGCGGGCGGAAATATAATAACAAAAAGAACACTCAAAAAAGCTTGAATGAGATATGCGTCGGACGTGATGCGTTTCTCCGTTGCCTCTGATAGCAGTGTGAAGGGGAAATATGCACATAGTCAACTACATGTGTTGGTGAAAATATGAAAAAATTTTTGCGGAAATTTTGGGAAATTTCTGCCGATTTCTGTACACTTCCAACCGAATTCTAATAATAACTTCTATGACTGGTGATGAAAACTCCTGAGGAGAGCGAACATATATTTCTCCAACACTGGCAGTTAGTAGTCTCCTCTACCCCGTATAGGGGCCGTACAGTGTCCATCATGAACCTCATCCAAAGCGTCAAACAGCGTGTGTCGAGAGACCGCCTCAGCGCCTCCTCCCCATTTAAGAGTAGCACCGTCCAACCATCCCTCTGGTGACGTTGGGCGCCACGATTAGGTAAATCCTCTACCAGTAGATCCTCTCTGTCATCAAGCAATGGGTCGCCGCCTACTACAGCTGATATTAATGGACTGACAATGCACACGAAAACTGCCCGAGATTTGGTCACAAATCCAGGATGCTCGGAAGCGATCATGATGTGCTTACTTCCATCAGATGCTCGACAAGCTTGCCGAGGATCCTCCTGTGAGGGGAATCCCCTATAGCGATGACATGGATAGTCCTTTTGCGGGATTGCCATCACTACAAGGTAGCAGCACGTTATCGAGCCTTCCGCTCAAAGGCTGCTCTCAGAAACGCCTTTCGCGGACCAACAGTTGGTGCTTCGGTTGAAGCTCCGTGCTTGCTGTGTCGTTTTCTACTTTGGTGATGAAAACCCTCGCCTCCGAGACAAAAGAAGAGATTTCCAAGAGAAGTTGGCCAAGCGTCAAGCGCTCCTGGATATTCTAACGTAGGCATAGGGTGGTGACCTCTTCCATGACGTAGCGTCTGTTCTCGTGTCAACAGCCACTGTGTAGTAAGGGTTCACATCTTCGCGCTGAAGGTATATAAATCAAGCATGGAACTACTACGATGACCAAGTGGCGGCAGATATTGTGGCAATGACTGCGGCTAACATATTCCGCACGGTAGTAGGGGAGGGGTGGTATGTCTGTGTGATACTGAGACGTTGGCGGCATGGCGGATTACTAGAAGGAAAAGGAGGATATTGAACTTGCTTGTAACACGATTTTCATGAGGTAAATTTTTGGATGTGCCGGGAATTGAACCCGGGGCCTTCTGCATGCGAAGCAGACGTGATACCGCTACACCACACACCCTGTGTTTTAGTTGACATTTGATGGATCTCATCCCTATGCCTTCTCAGTTACCCCCTCGGGTTAAAAACCCAATGGCTCTCTTCGATTTGGAGGAGGAAGAGGCAGTCCTTGACCAATCTTGGCCGCATTTGCAGACAGTGTGAGTGCCGCTCAAGCGTTTGCAGTCTCCACTTATATCCATGCAATTAGGTATGAGATTTTCTTCCGGTTCATTGTGTGTCCGATAGTTGAGCCTCGGTCGTTGAAGAAACATATAGATAACAAGTTCATATCGAGGTAGTAGTAGTAGTAGTAGTAGTAGTAGTAGTAAAAGCGAAGCGAAGCTTCCGATCAATACCGGCATTCAGCAGATTTCTATTGACTTTCGAATCAGAAGACTCTCGAGAGAGGGAGTACCTCAAGACAATCCTACACCGCATATATGGTGAGTCCTGATAGGACTGGCAGCGGAGCGAAGGTCTGACATTTGGTGGTCAGGTAAAATGATGCCCATGCGGGCTTTTATCCGTCGCTCGCTACAGCACTCCCTCTTGCGTGTTACCAGTGAATCAGCTGAGCACAACGGCGTAGCTGAGATGCTGGAGATTCTGGGTTCGATAATTAACGGATTTGCTATTCCACTCAAGGAGGAGCACAAGCTGTTCCTCGAAAAGTCTCTAATGCCTCTGCACACCGTAAGCGCCAGTGTTCGAGGAATATGTGTTCGCTTTTCTCAGCTGAGATCGGGAAATTTTCCCTATAAAATTCACGGGGACCAATGAGAATTTCCCGAAATTTCCTCAGAATTTTCGTATCGCCACCAACAAATGCATTTTCCCACATTGGTAAGCGCTATAGCATCTCATCGTCAGGCTCGATCCCTCAACTCGTTCTTCCAGCCGCTCTCGTATTGCATCACACAGTACGTTGAAAAAGACCCTCGGCTGGCCACGATGGTCATTAAAGGTGCCAAGCGGAAGCATCTCATTCTGTCTTGTATAGTGTTGGAATATACGTTGGCTTTCCTCAGCCGTCCCTCCACTAATTATGGAAGTTTACACATGAATTCGAGTAGAAGCATTGGTAAACTAACAACAATTTCCAAGAATTTCCTCGAAATTTCTATATTGTCATCTATATATGTTGTCTACTATGTGCACATTTTCCCACAAGAATCTTATATAGTGTTTGTACCGTTCAGGACTACTGCGTTTCTGGCCGGTTACGAGCCCATCAAAGGAGGTTCAGTTCCTCACTGTGATGGAGGAAGTTCTCGAAGTGCCCTTTGAGCTTTCCGTGATCTCGCTGACTGTCTCCTTGTTTCAGCTCACTCAAACACCAGAACTAGAAGTGATAAAGTTGGCTCTCTTCAAGAGGCTATCTAAGTGCCTCGTCAGTTCCCATTTCCAGGTAGGATAATGGTGTAGTTGTACAGAGATCTTAGCTTAGCTGTATTAAGCTAGTTGATGATTTTACGAGTATGGTTGTAGATAGAAACTCTAGATCCCATTAACCGTTGCCGTGAGTTCCACAATGGTAAGCACTTGACCAGGAGCTTACCCGACTTAACCAGGACTCGATAACAATGGGGAAAATGTTCCTAATGTGATGATGACATCTACATGGGAAACTGATTGAAGAATGTGTTCCTGGCCATACGTGGAAAATTCAAGATGGGAACATTATAGGTTCCTGGATGATTCGCTGCTCTCGAGCGCTGAATAAGTGGTTGTTGAGCTCAGGTAGCCGAGAGAGCGCTGTTCTACTGGAACAACGACTCCATCGTGCGTATCATCAATGATAATCGACGCATAGTCTTCCCTATAATTGTTGGCCCTCTGTGAGCCGCTAGTGGTGATGGAGAGAATCTTTGTGCGCATGCGTGCTACGTTAGGTATGATAATTCATTAACACATTGGAATAGTACAATACATGGGCTTACCTGCAACGTGTTGAAGTTGTTGATGGAGGCTGATCCTCCTTTATATGATTCCTGCAGTGCTACCCATCGTTCGCAGTCTACCACGTGATCAGATATCATGCTTGTCTCTGCGTATAGCTACAGCTCAGGTCGGGCGAGTCGCTGCGAGAGTCCCGATGGGCATTCTTGGAGAAAAGTTATCAAACCTTTGCAGAAGTGCATGATGAGCGAGCAATGGCGGGATAATCGATTCCCTTTTGAATTCGTAAGCATTCGCTGGGCGTGAAAAACAGTTGCACGCATACACACAATCAATGGTGGAAGTATGAAAACCGCATTCGTATGTAGAGTTGTATAATTACAGTGAGGAAACTTCTGAGCTCAGCTGAGGAAAGCGAAAATATGTTCAAATACTACATTATTACGCTACTTATACATGATGACAAATTGTGTCATCATGTCTCCACTATGCATAACCCCACGCATCTTCTTAGGATGATGGAGAGTGTAAGGGCTGCGCAATCTAATGAACTTCTATTTGGTGTATGTGTTGCATAAGTGTACCATGCATGTTGTACCAAAGTGCAACAATCTATGTACGGTTTTTTTCTCAATAATTGGGAGTTGAGTTGGATATCCTCGATTCTAGTTGGATGCAAAGGTATCGCCACTTGTCTATTTCGGACCCGAATTCTCCTGATTAAGTGCCACTGGCACGAGTGTTCACCACTGTCCCGTTGAGAATTCCCAGAGGTAGTCGATGCTGGTCTAGTACTGCTGAACCTGAGTGTACACGATGACGAAACCCATCGCGAGTCACAGGTTACTCATGATGACTTACAGTCACTATAGCTTCTATTAATAATAATATGAGCTATAGTTCCTGTGATTAACCTACAGAGTGATCATCATCATAATACTATGAAGTATTACGAAGATTGACGTAGACAGAATCGGCTATTATGTCTACGGTAATATTCCTAGTGTGGACCTTCACACAGCTCAGACATGCGAAGAACATCACTCATCATCGACAATGAAAATTGAGATGTTCTCACACTAGGCAAATCCACCCGTTACGGGTGACCCGTAGCAAATATGGTCGAGAGCGAACGATATCACGTTGAGAAACTCACCCGTGAACGGTCAGTTTGACGTTACCATGATCGAGGTGGACTCAGCGAACAGAGTGGTGATAGTCGGCGCTGGGCCGATCGGAGGCGCCATGGGATGCCTCTTCCGCCGCCATGGATATCGAGTTGACATATACGAGAGGTAAATCATCATCATCATTCAGTTGAGAGCGAATTTGAAATCAGATACACTGATATTCGCAAGCACTCACACGCAGCTGGTCGCAGTATTAATTTGGTCGGACTGTGTACATGAAACCGTTCCTAGAGTGTCTCTCTTGAGCTCAGGTCCTCACCAGAAGAGGCCTTAGATTTGCAGAGATGCTCGGCGTTAAGGAGCAGCTACTATCGCATACAGTATGTTCACCTGTCATCTCACTGGTGCATCGCCATGCTCAGGTACCGGTCTATGGTAGAACGATGCATGATCTCAATGGTGAGTCAACAATAGCTCTATCGCCTTGCTAATCGCGTCTAGTAGGTACCACTACGTTCACTCCCTATGGACGTGATGGCGAATGCAATTTTTCTGTTGACCGCTCCCGGCTGAACAAATTCTGGATTGTAGGATGTACCTGTATCATCACACCATGATTACCAAGTGCAGGATGAGGCTGAGAAGGCCGGCGCTTGTATTCACTTCGATAGAACGCTCAGTCTAGAGGATACCTCATTGGAGGTGGCACTTCAGCATTCCAAATCTGATAGCATCAATTCTCTATCAGGATCGACGTCTATGCTTCCACGACTCGACTGGAGGAAAGCACTTTGTCGATCTGTCGCTGAGTAGCTCAGCCTAGTCCCTTTGTCACTGGTCGCTGACTGTCCCTCAGATACAGCAGTCGTTGGTTGTGATGGAGCTGGCAGTCGATTACGGTAAGGTGTTTTCGTCAGCAAATCCTGGTGACTCAACTTTAGTATAATCTATCTAGAATATATATCTGTATTAGTGAAGGGGTATACAATCAATTGAATACGATATATTAGGCATATGTACAGACATAGATTATAATATAATCTATAGTCTTATAATATGTTAGTGGTTTGAGGCTCCCCAGCCCCCCTAGCCGTAAACTCAGTATTACCAACCATAAGACTTTGATGAGAATGGTAGAGGAAAATATGATCTTAACTCTTTATCCTACTCCCAGGCTATAGCTAGCTCAGCGCGGATCCACCGCGATAAGCCTTTGTGTACTGCTGTCCCAGGGACTCTGTCCCTCTACAATATAATATAATCATTATATACACTGCTGGGCAGTGCATATAATCTACATCTGCAGTGAGTCACTGCAAGTAGTAAGTATATGCACTGCTAGTGCATATACTTACTGCCACCCTGAGGGTGGTTGCCAGTCACTGCAGAAGAGCAGTGACTCAATAAGAGCAGTGACTGCTCTTATTAATAATTATATATACTTTCATCTATTCATGCTCAGGCACGCCTTGTCGAATGCTGGAGTGCTCACCTTCACTGAGGAGATGATAGGCCACGGCTATAAGGAGATCACCTTCCCGGCCTTATCGACTAGTGATAGCCCATGGGGGTAGGCCACCACTAAGGATTAGCGATCTTCACTTCATCAGCAATTTCGCCATGCACAACGAGAGCCTCCACATCTGGCCGAGAGGAGATTTCTTCCTAATGGGTCTCGCCAATCTAGACGGCAGTTTCACCGGGACTATCTATGTAGCTCCATAAAGTCTCGCAGGATCATATTCTTTCTGACAGGCTAGGAACGGCCCCACTGGTGAAGATAACGATGTCCAGGTGAGCTCCGGTGTCGGCTGCACATGGTCAACTACGTGGGAAAATTGCCGATGGTTTTCTTGACATTTTCACTCTCAGTCGTGAGTGAATTTTTTCACAATATGGAAATTTCTGAGCTCAGCTGAGGGAACCAAACGGATGTCGCACATTGTGTAGGTGACTTTCCCATCGATAACAAAAAATGAGACAACCGCTCGAGATTTTCTAGCGCAGTATTTCCCTGATGCCCAGCTGGGTGAGTATGTTGCGGATCCTCATGGTCCGATATTCCCTCGCAGCTCCCGACGCACCGACAGAACTCATTTCGAACGCACAGGGGAAGCTGGGGAGCATCCGTTGCGACACGTCCGTTCTTTGCTGTCGGCCATTTCATAGCAAATTCACTCAGGCACACCGCGGAGGTCGCTGGAGTGCCCTATCTCCTAGCTGGTGATGCTGCTCATGCAATTGTCCCATTTTTTGGTCAGGGATGCAACTGTGGCTTTGAGGATTGTACAAATTCTTTTCACGGGCTGTGAGAGAGTTCTTGCCTCAGGCATTGTCCTCGACGAGCATTTACAGGATAAGTCGCGACCACTGGGTGAGAAAAATCGCGTGAATTCAACCGGGAATTCTCACGTTGTCAGCCGCAGCCTTCAGAGCGTACTCATCTCAGCGGCTGATCGATACGAATGCTATCGCAGATATGGCTCTAGATAACTTCATTGAGATGATGAGCCGTGTGGCTGATGCCAAGTGACGAGACAAGCCCATTGAGCCTGCCTCTGTCGCGACGTTATCGATTGCAGGTTTTTGGTGTGCAAAAAAGTGGAAACAGCCATCATGGGCAAGCTACCGCAGAAATACCGTTCTCGGTGAGTGCTGGTCTTGAGTCAGCAATAGATGGGCGGGATGAAATAGGTACACCTTGGTGATGTACTCGTACAACTCATATAGCAAGTGCCTCGAGGTCGGACAGGTCGCCGCTGGCATCTTGGAAGAGATCATTGCACAGTGCAAGATATCTTCGGTGGATGAGGTTGACTCCAAACTAGACTTCGAGTTTATAACGGATCTGCTGGAGAGAAAATATCTTCCTTTTCTCAATGAATTGGGTGTTTCTTTGACGTTTGCCGCTTGACCAGTCCACTGGTTCTTCCATGATCGAGTGAGAAGTTTTTACACGACATACGGTTGCGTTCAGTGGACTGCGCCGTGGTTCGGACTCCTCATGTGTGATTCAAATCTCCATGGCGACGACCCAATCGCTTCGGAATCACGCATCATAAAATTATGGCAATCAAAGATTTTTATTCGTGAAGTATTCGTGAGTGGAGAGTTTTTTATTCAGACACGTATTATTTTGAACCTCCTTTCTGTGAATAAGTCCAGCATTCGACAAAGGAGAAAGTGGGCTAAGATCGCCTGAGGACTTAGTATCATAGATAATCTATGATAGATTGAAACACGAATTACTTTCTGGGTGCGATGGGTCTAACACAAGCAAAAAAGTACTGTGCCAAGAAAGAATGGAAAAATTAAGCTTTGCTTGCTGTATTGAGTTACGAAGATTGAGACAAGAGCGCAGAACCGTGACATAAGCAAGTGCACACAATCAAGCTCACTATGCAGCTACAACTTGTAGCCTACATGTCTTACAATTATGAGCTGAAATTGAGCTTAGTTGAGATTGAACTCGGAACACCCCGCAGTGAGCGTGTGAATGATTCGTTAAACTAAGCTCGACATTTAAATCTCGTTCATTCGCCAGCAGAAAACTAAAATTGCTGGAGTTTGCTCAAGAAACTGAACGAACAGCCGAGGTACTTGAGGTGCTAGGCGAGGCAGAAGGAACCCGAGCTTTGCCAGAGAACCCGGCGACCAGGCCAAGTTCGGTGTTGCTGTCCCGCTCCTCCTCGAAGAGAGGTTTGGAAGCTTCGACAGACGCAACCAGGGAGAGGGCTCGGGGAGCCTTGCCTGCGGTAAGATGACCGTAAACATGTTTGGTTTGAGTAGTGCGAGGAAGAGCACTCCAGGACAGAGTCGCAGCAACGGCATCTCGAGTATCTCACGGATCGCAGGCGGTGCGAAGCCTGTGGCGCCGTCAAGCCGTAAGCCTTATCCAGGGCTTGCCAAACAGTCTCAACCGCATTCATAGAATCATCTGCTAGCTGGTAGACGTCGACTAATCGGGCTGCCGGCCCAGTGAGAAGGGCTTCGAGCTTGACCAAAGCAATGTCCTACGGCCCGCGCCGTGCAGCCGCCAGAGCCTTAAAACGTCGGCGCGACTCGACCAGAGGAATGGATGAGGCAGCGCCCGAAAAACGCTCCAGTTTGAGAGCCTCATCGGTATCATCCTTGGCAAGGCCATCACCGTCAAGCGTAGGAGTAACCGCACTAGGCGACTGTGGTTGAGGGGTACTAGTGGCTGAGTTTGCCGCCCCGGCGGCGGAAGGAGACCCGGCGCCTGCTGCCGCCGAGAGACCGAAAAAGTCGTCAACACCATCACCCAGCTCATGATGGGACGGCCCCCCTCAACTTGGTTGTTTCCATTGCTACACAGGGGGATCCGTGCCTGTTGCGGTTCTGGGTATTCTCCAAGTATTTGGATGCTGAGGTAGGTTCGCCATTGTTGTCAGTTGCTTCGATCACCAAGGCCGAGGCTAAGAGGTCGAACAACTCTTCTTGGATTTACTTTCCCCACAGTAACAAATGCTTTGCGCGTGTAATTGCATATCGTTGAGTGAATCGCTCAGAATAGTATTCTTATTTGGGAACTGACCACTTAGTCCTCTCAGAGGCTGAAACTCAGCCTCAAGCATAACTCCCAAGTTAGGAGTCACAACTCCTTGATGCGATTCGCACCGTGCGAATATCCATGGTGTTGAAGTTTGCCTCACACAGATTCATGCTCCACCTGGCTCGCTTCTACTCGAATAGACTTCGCCACGCTTCTCTCACCAATAGCATCCTCGAATACAATATTCTTAGCAGATCGTGGCTCCACTCTCCTAAGTAGAACCGTTGTGATTTCCAGGAGTGCAACCAGGTCCATAGACTTGAGTGACACCCTGCTTGAATCTTCGCATAAAATGGGATACATCCAGACGGACTTCAAGATCTGGGTTATTCCTCTGTTGCAATAACACCGACTATGCATCACGCTGAGTTGCTCAGCAAAGCCCTGGCTAGCGACTCAGAGAGAAGCGTCAGAAGTAATACTGTCTTACAATAATGGATACACTAACGCCGTTAGTCTAACGGGATTCGACTCCAGTTTGAGAGCCTTGTCGGTATCATCCTCGACAAGGCCATCACCGTCAAGCGTAGGAGTACTTAACTTGTTTGTCTCCATTGCTACACAGAGGGATCCGTGCCTGTTACGGCTCAGCGTATTCTCCAAGTATTTGGATGCTGAGGTAGGTTCGCCAGCGTATTTGGTCTAACTCAGTACTTAGCGTATAATCTTGTGCAAAGTTGATAATCAAGTAGCGCCATGCTACTTCGGGACATGCTTGTTCCCCTTGTTTCTGAGCAGAGGGATTGGTATTCTTGGGTATTTCACTCTAACTTGGTGATTGCTTCTAAATCATCTCAAGCCTTCAAAGAACTTCACGAATAAACCGGGCCGCTCTTCTAGGCTTCTTCGACTCCTTGCGGTACTCGTTCCCCAAGGGTGACCACGGAAATCACGTTCTCACTCAGAGACAACGCAAACCACCACACGGCATGATGAAACCCAATTGTACAGTTTTAAAGCTTTAGAACATGCAGGTGATTGTGACTTCACCCTGAGGGGAGCTATCGGCTCCTCTTAGAATGTGCGCATGAATCGGGCACTGCTTCCGCTACTTATCAGCAGCTCGATGACGAAACCGACGAAGGGGATAACGTTACGTTCGACATCCCTCCCGATCCATTCTGATCCACGCTACCGCTCTCTATGCTCGAGGACTTCGAGGTCGAGCTGCACGCAATTGAAATTTTGTCAGTGACCGATGCAGCATGAACAGTGGCAGAACTTTCCGAAGTATGAGATTCTGAGTTCACGGACACCCCAGATTCTGCAACGGACCACTTATCTATCGGGCTAGTGCAGACGCTGTACTCGCAGACTGCTGATCCTCCAGCACTGGCTTCACTCCATACGCTCCCATGGTGGCATTGCTGCTCTAAATTCTTTTCCCCGGGCCGAGAGCAAGAGTACGAACGGTTCGTCTCATGTCGGTCAGGCAGGGATACCTCGCTTATGGTACTGTGGCGTTCAGCCTTCTCCGAACTCGCTTCTGCTTCACTCCAACAGCTATTGACATCCATGTGAGGATTTGACGGCGCTTTTCCCTTGCCTGCTGCAGAAAGTCCTAAGTAATGACGGTGACGACGGCTTCAGAAACAATTCCAATCATTGACACGATCGATATCGCTTGCTGTAGTACTTGCAGTTTTTGGGGGCCGCGGTGTGTTCGAAACGTGTAGTCTTCCTCGGTAGCGGGAAGGAGGTCCTGTTCGGACTGTCGGCAGCAAACGACCGTCTCGGAGATACCTATGGAATTGGATCCGCATTACGCGGACGCGAAGCCAAACTTACAGAGGTTTCCCGTTTAAAATTATCTCCACACAATACCCGTGTTGACAGTAAATCCAATCCCGACTTTCTTTACAGGTACAGGCACATACTGTTGAATTACAATCCCTTTCTGGGTCATTGAAGGTTCTCCCTTCGTCCACGGTCTCATGAAATGTCGTGAGATAGTAAGGGAAGCAACGATCCATCAGCTCGTCCAGTGGTAACTTTCCTGAGCGGTCACAGCCTGAAATTGATTTACATGTCATTATCCAATCATATATCAATCCGCAATCGTGTTGTCAATCGATCCCACTGATACATATTCCGATCATACCAAAATCGTCATGCAGTAGCGTCCGTAAAAAATCGGTGACAGTGTGCTCCTCTCGGTTCCGATTCCTTCCCAGCACGCCGACGGTAGGAAAAATGAAGTATCGAGTACTGGGGTCTCTAGAGTCCAGAAGCTCTTCTACAAGCTCTGTTACCTGAAAAGCGTTGCGTTCCGGCAACAGTCCGAGTATCGGCTAAGCCCGTGGAGACATCGTATTCATTCCCAATATTCTCATGATATGACATGATGTCAGTACCTCAGTGAAGCTGTGATTTTCAGCCATCGTCGTCCCTCGCACTTTCATGTCGGGCTCATAGTCCACGACGTCGATTGCTTCGGACCGAGTGATGAAGTTCCCCGATGCAAACTTGGGAGCTGTTTTCAGAACCTGGGTAAAATTGAAATATCCCCCACCCAGTTCAGCTTAACTCATGATGATTCAGCTGACTTACACTCTTTATTTTCCTCACGAACTTCGATATGACAAACTTTTTCCGATTTAAACTATAAGTTATGGTTTTGTGAAAAGTTTCCACGATATTCGTGAGTACCTATGATTCAGTGCCTGCAATTAAACTAAGCGACGTTTTACTTGTGTCCCCCTTAATCCATCGCTATCCAAATGAATGTTCGGATACCCGAGACGGTCGGCATTAAGGGCCGTCTCCTTGTTTCAGCTCACTCAAACACCAGAACTAGAAGTGATAAAGTTGGCTCTCTTCAAGAGGCTGTCTAAATGCCTCGTCAGTTCCCATTTCCAGGTAGGATAATGCTGTAGTTGTACAGAGATCTTAGCTTAGCTTTATTAAGCTAGTTGATGATTTTATGAGTATGGTTGTAGATAGAATCTCTAGATCCCATTAACCGTTGTCGTGAGTTCCATAATGGTAAGCACTTCACCAGGAGCTTACTCAACTTAACCAGGATTCGATAACAATGGGGAAAATGTTCCTAATGTGATGATGACATTTACATGGGAAGCTGATTGAAGAATGTGTTCCTGGCCATACGTGGGAAATTCAAGATGAGAACATTATAGGTTCCTGGATGATTCGCTTCTCTCGAGCGCTGAATAAGTGGCTGTTGAGCTCAGGTAGCCGAGAGAGCGCTGTTCTACTGGAACAACGACTCCATCGTGCGTCTCATCAACGATAATCGGCGCATCGTCTTCCCTATAACTGTTGGCCCTCTGTGAGCCGCTGGTGGTGATGGAGAGAATCTTTATGCGCATGCGTGCTACGTTAGGTATGATAATTCATTAACGCATTGGAATAGTACAATACATGGGCTTACCTGCAACGTGTTGAAGTTGTTGATGGAGGCTGATCCTCCTTTATATGATTCCTGCAGTGCTGCCCATCGTTCGCAGTCTACTATGTGATCAGATATCATGCTTGTCTCTGCGTATAGCTACAGCTCAGGTCGGGCGAGTCGCTGCGAGAGTCGCGATGGACCTTCTTGGAGAAAAGTTATGAAACCTTTGCACAAGTGCATGATGAGCGAGCAATGGCGGGATAATCGATTCCCTTTTGAATTAGTAAGCATCCGCTGGGCGTGAAAACAGTTGACAATGAAAAATGGTGGAAGTCTGAAAAACTCTGAGAATTTTAGCAAAAAAATTCTTAGTATTTCTGCATATTGCTATCCGTACTCGTCGTATGTAAAGTTGTATAATTAGGGAGGAAACTCCTGAGCTCAGCTGAGGAAAGCGAAAATATGTTCAAATACTACATTATTACACTACTTATACCCACTGTGCATAACCTCACGTCTCTTCTTAGGATGATGGAGAGTGTAAGGGCTGCGCAATCTAATGAACTTCTATTTGGCGTCTGTGTTGCATAAGTGTACCATGCATGTTGTACCAAAGTGCAACACATTATGTAACGTTTTTTTCCCAAGAATTGGAGTTGCGTTGCATATCCTCGCTTCTAGTAAGATGGTACGGGATTGTCACTTGTCTGTTTCGAGCCAGAGGTTAAGAGAGTCTTCTTCTTCTGAGGGGTGAATTGATTGAGTGCTATTGGCACCACTATCTCGTTGAGAATTCCCAGAGGTAGTCGATGCTGGTCTAGTACTGCTGAACTTCTCGTCGAGTGTACACGATGACGAAACCCGTAGTGAGTCACAGGTGACTTACAGTTACTATAGCTTCCAGTGATGAAAGCTTCTATTGAGCTATAGTTCCTGTGGTAAACCTTCAGAGTGATTATCATCATAATACTATGAAGTTTTATGAAGATTACCGTAGACAGAATCGGCTATTATGTCTACGGTGATATTCCTAGTGTGGACCTTCACACAACTCATCATCGGCAATGAAAATTGAGGTGTCCTCACACAAGGCAGATCCACCCGTTCCGGGTGAGCCGTAGGAAACATGGTAGAGAGCGAACGATATCACGTTGAGAAACTCACCCGTGAACGGTCAGTTTGACGTTACCATGACCGAGGTGAACTCAGCGAACAGAGTGGTGATAGTCGGCGCTGGGCCTATCGGAGGCGCCATGGGATGCCTCTTCCGCCGTCATGGATATCAAGTTGACATATACGAGAGGTAAATCATCATCATTCAGTTGAGAGCGAATTTGAAATCAGATACACTGATATTCGCAAGCACTCACACGCAGCTGGTCGCAGTATTAATTTGGTCGGACTGTGTACATGAAACCGTTCCTAGAGTACCTCTCTTGAGCTCAGGTCCTCACCAGAAGAGGCCTTAGATTTGCAGAGATGCTCGGCGTTAAGGAGCAGCTACTATCGCATACAGTATGCTCACCTGTCGTCTCACTGGTGCATCGCCATGCTCAGGTACCGGTCTATGGTAGAACGATGCATGATCTCAACGGTGAGTCAGCAATAGCTTTATCGCTTTGCCAATGGCGTCTAGTAGGTACCACTACGTTCACTCCCTATGGGCGTGATGGCGAATGCAATTTTTCTGTTGACCGCTCCCGGCTGAACAAGTTCTGGATTGTAGGATGTACCTGTATCATCGCACCATGATTACCAAGTGCAGGATGAAGCTGAGAAGGCCGGCGTTTGCATTCACTTCGACAGAACGCTCAGTTTAGAAGATACCTCATTGGAGGTGGCACTTCGACATTCCAAATCTGATAGCATCAATTCTCTATCAGGATCGACGCCTATGCTTCCACGACTCGGCTGGAGGAAAGCACTTTGTCGACCTGTCGCTGAGTAGCTCAGCCTAGTCCCTTTGTCACTGGTCGCTGACCATCCCTCAGATACAGCAGTCGTTGGTTGTGATGGAGCTGGGAGTCGACTACGGTAAGGTGATTTCGTCAGCTTATCCTGGTGACTCATCTTTAGTATGATCTATCTAGAATATAGGTCTGTATTTGTGAAGGGGTATACAATCTTCTTCTTCTTCTTCTTGCGCAGCACCCCTTCGACCAGGCGAGTAATAGCCAATATAGAGGTATAGCCGCAGGCTCAGTCACTGTCTGAGCCCTGGTATGAACCGGTAGATAGTGTGTTACACGCCAGAGAGCTCGATAAATCAATTTAATCAATTCAATTCAATCAATTGAATACGGTATCTCAGGCATATGTACAGATATAGACTACAATAAAATATATAATATATAGAACGCATATAATATACACTGCATATGATCTATAATCATAATAATCATACACTCACTGCATATAATCATTATATGCAGTGAGTTACTGCGAGTACTAAGTATATGCACTGCCGGTGCATAGATCTACTGCCACCCCGAAGGGTGGTTGCCAGTCACTGCAGAAGAGCAGTGACTGCTCTTATTAATAATTATATATACCTTCACCTATCTACGCTCAGACACGCCTTGTCGAATGCTGGAGTGCTTACCTTCACTGAGGAGATGATAGGCCACGGCTATAAGGAGATCACCTTCCCGGCCTTATCAACTAGTGATGGCTCATGGGGGTAGGCCACCACTGAGGATGAACTATCTTCACTTCATCAGCAATTTCGCCATGCACAACGAGAGCCTCCACATCTGGCCGAGAGGAGATTTCTTCCTGATGGGTCTCGCCAATTTAGACGGCAGTTTCACCGGGACTATCTATGTAGCTCCATAAAGTATCGCAGGATCCCAATCTTCTTGACAGGCTAGGAACGGCCTCACTGGTGAAGACAACGATGCCCAGGTGAGCTCCGGTGTCGGCTGCGCATGGTCAACTACGTGGGAAAATTGCCGATGGTTTTCTCAACATCTTCACTCTCAGTCGTGAGTGAATTTTTTTCACAATATGGAAATTTCTGAGCTCAGCTGAGGAAACCAAACGGATGTCGCATATTGTGTAGGTGACTTTCCCATCGATAACAAAAAATGAGACAACCGCTCGAGATTTTCTAGCGCAGTATTTCCCTGATGCCCAGCTGGGTGAGTATGTTGCGGATGCTCATGGTCCGATCTTCCCTCGCAGCTCCCGACGCACCGACAGAACTCATTTCGAACGCACAGGGGAAGCTGGGGAGCATCCGTTGCAACACGTCCGTTCTCTGTTGTCGGTCACTCCATAGCAAATTCACTCAGGCACACCGCGGAGGTCGCTGGAGTGCCCTATCTCCTAGCTGGTGATGCTGCTCATGCAATTGTCCCATTTTTCGGTCAGGGATGCAACTGTGGCTTTGAGGATTGTACAAATTCTTTTCACCGGCTGTGAGAGAGTTTTTGCCTCAGGCATTGTCCTCGACGAGCATTTACAGGATAAGTCGCGACCACTGGGTGAGAAAAATCGCGTGAATTCATTTGGGAATTCTCACGTTGTCAGCCGCAGCCTTCAGAGCGTATTCATCTCAGCGACTGATCGATACGAATGCTATCGCAGATATGGCTCTAGATAACTTCATTGAGATGATGAGCCGTGTGGCTGATGCCAAGTGACGAGACAAGCCCATTGAGCCTGCCTCTGTCGCGACGTTATCGATTGCAGGTTTTTGGTGCGCAAAAAAGTGGAAACAGCCATCATGGGTAAGCTACCGCAGAAATACCGTTCTCGGTGAGTGCTGGTCTTGAGTCAGCAATAGATGGGCGGGATGAAATAGGTACACCTTGGTGATGTACTCGTACAACTCATATAGCAAGTGCCTCAAGGTCGGACAGGTCGCCGCCGGCATCTTGGAAGAGATCATAGCACAGTGCAAGATATCTTCGGTGGATGAGGTTGACTCTAAACTAGACTTCGAGTTCATAACGGATCTGCTGGAGAGAAAATATCTTCCTTTTCTCAATGAATTGGGTGTTTCTTTGACGTTTGCCGCTTGACCAGTCTACTGGTTCTTCCATGATCGAGTGAGAGGTCTTTACACGACGTACGGTTGCGTTCAGTGGATTGCGCGGCGGTCCGTTCCCCTGATGTGTGATTCAAATCACCATGGCGACGACCCAATCGCTTTGGAATCACGCATCATAAAATCATGGCAACGGAAGATGTTTATTCGTGAAGTATTCGTGAGTAGAAAGGTCGTTATTTGGAATCTTCAACTCTACCGGTGATCAATCGGGCGATTGTTTGACGCCTGAACATTTACACAGTCACCATGTGAGGAAGTGCAGTAAACAGCCATTCTACCAGGAATCACTGTAGATCATTGACTAGAATATATGAGCCACGCCTCATTACATGATAGTAGTCTATCAAAACTGATCGTTATAGTGATTATCTAATGGTCAGAGAAAGCTGGGCACAATTGCATCCTCCACTTGGAACAATAATTCAGCCACTCAGCCAGTGTCAACTTGACAGCACGAGTTTGTCATGGCGCATTAGTTGTGCTCGTGAGCTAGTCTCACCAGCGATTGATATATGAACTCTTACTATGAACTCCTTCATCAGACTGAGTTACTGTACTGTGTATAGCCTCAACTATATCAGCTGAGACTGTAGCTCAGCTGCAGACGGTGTTCATGCAGCAGCTCGTACAAGACCACTCGTGTCGCACAAGACTCGACGTAAGATGAGTTAGGCAGGTTGCCACAACTATATTTGATTGTCAGACTCTCTGAGACCAGAGTTTCTGACAGACGTATAGATAATTGTGGCCATTGGCGACTCGCCAAATTAACGCTATATCGAATTCTTGTGATTCGGCAGATTATTCGGGATACAGTGAATGGAGACGTTATCTAGTGGTAGTGACACGGTAGCTTGTTTTTTAGGTCTGCGAATCGCAGACTGCGATACGGAACCGAGAAGGCTTCAAGGTTCAGAGGTTCTAATTAGTCTAAGTCAACTGATAGATTCCAGTAGACTAGTTTAGTCGGTACTAGAATCTAGTAGACTAAAAAACGATTTCTCTTGCTGTTTAATTTGATGTTTCAGCTTTCCTCACAGTTGAAAACGGCGTATCTCGAAGAGTTAAGGGTCACTAGATCCATATGCCACCAATGAGTCATACAGTAACCTTAGGATCCGCCTTGTCCTAAACCGCAATCTTTGTTTCCTTCAACTCGCTCCATATTCTCCATCAGGAAGGAGTATGTATGTTCCTTTCAACCATGATTAGGGAGCTCTTCCTTGATGAAACACCAGGCACGATTACTACACTACCATTACTGTTGAGACACCCCATTACTGACACGTCACTTGAGCAAGTAGGGGGGCCGACTCGACATGGCACTGTTGTGGTCGACGCACCGTTGCGTGCATCGTGTTGATGTGCCTCGTCTATCCACCTTTAGAACGACATAGCTTCGGATATGATGTACAACGCAGAGGATCAACATACAAATCCACACTCAGGAAATTTGTAAAAACCTCCCCTCTGTGAATAAGTCCAGCATTCGACAAAGGAGAAAGTGAGCTAAGATCGCCTGAGGACTTAGTATCATAGATAATCTATGATAGATTGAAACACGAATTACTTTCTGGGTGCGATGGGTCTAGCACAAGCAAAAAAAGCCCGGCTAAGAAAGAATGCAAAACTTAAGCTTTGCTTGCTGTACTGAGTTACGAAGATTGAGACGAGAGCGCAGAACCGTGACATAAGCAAGTGCACACAATCAAGCTCACTATGCAGCTACAACTTGTAGCCTACAAGTCTTACAAGTATGAGCTGAAATTGAGCTGAGGTGAAATTGAACTCGGAACACCCCGCAGTGAGCGTGTGAATGATTCGTTAAACTAAGCTCGACATTTAAATCTCGTTCATTCGCCAGCAGAAAACTGAAATTGCTGGAGTTTGCTCAAGAAACTGAATGAACAGCCGAGGTACTTGAGGCGCTAGGCAAGGCAGAAGGAACCCGAGCTTTGCCAGAGAACCCGGCGACCAGGCCAAGTTCGGTGTTGCTGTCCCGCTCCTCCTCGAAGTGAGGTTTGGAAGCTTCGACAGACGCAACCAGGGAGAGGGCTCCGGGAGCCTTGCCTGCGGTAAGATGACCGTAAACATGTTTTGAGTAGTGCGAGGAAGAGCACTCCAGGACAGAGTCGCAGCAACGGCATCGCGATCAGCAGTGGATAAGAAGCTCCAAGCCACAAAGATCCACTCAACAATGGACGCAGCCAACTCGTCGACACTAGTACCCGAGGCTGGCGAGTATCTCACGGATCGCAGGCGGTGCGAAGGCTGTGGCGCCGTCAAGCCGTAAGCCTTATCCAGGGCTTGCCAAACAGTCTCAACCGCATTCATAGAATCATCTGCTAGCTGGTAGACGCCGACTAATCGGGCTGCCGGCCCAGTGAGAAAGGCTTCGAGCTTGACCAAAGCAATGTCCTACGGCCCGCGCCGTGCAGCCGCCAGAGCCTTAAAACGTCGGCGCCACTCGACCAGAGGAATGGATGAGGCAGCGCCCGAAAAACGCTCCAGTTCGAGAGCCTTATCGGTATCATCCTTGGCAAGGCCATCACCGTCAAGCGTAGGAGTAACTGCACTAGGCGACTGTGGTTGAGGGGTACTAGTGGCTGAGTTTGCCGCCCCGGCGGCGGAAGGAGACCCGGCGCCTGCTGCCGCCGAGAGACCGAAAAAGTCGTCAACACCATCACCCAGCTCATGATGGGACGCCCCCCTCAACTTGGTTGTTTCCATTGCTACACAGGGGGATCCGTGCCTGTTGCGGTTCTGGGTATTCTCCGAGTATTTGGATGCTGAGGTAGGTTCGCCATTGTTGTCAGTTGCTTCGATCACCAAGGCCGAGGCTAAGAGGTCGAACAACTCTTCTTGGATTTACTTTCCCCACAGTAACAAATGCTTTGCGCGTTTAATTGCATATCGTTGAGTGAATCGCTCAGAATAGTATTTTTATTTGGGAACTGACCACTTAGTCCTCTCAGAGGCTGAAACTCAGCCTCAAGCATAACTCCCAAGTTGGGAGTCACAACTCCTTGATGCGATTCGCACCGTGCGAATATCCGTGGTGTTGAAGCTTGTACGCCTCACACAGACTCATGCTCCACCTGGCTCGCTTCTACTCGGATGGACTTCGCCACGCTTCTCTTGCCAATAGCATCCTCGGATACAATATTCTTAGCAGATCGTGGCTCCACTCTCCCACAGAAGAACAGTTGTGATTCCAGGAGTGCAACCAGGTCCATAGACTTGAGTGACACCCTGCTTGAATCTTCGCATAAAATGGGATACATCCAGACGGACTTCAAGATCTGGGTTATTTCTCTGTCGCAACAACACCGAATATGCATCACGCTGAGCTGCTCGGCAAAGCCCTGGCTAGCGACTCAGGGAGAAGCATCAGAAGTAATACTGTCTTACAATAATGGATACACTAACGAGATTCGACTCCAGTTTGAGAGCCTTATCGGTATCATCCTCGGCAAGGCCATCACCGTCAAGCGTAAGAGTAACCGCACTAGGCAACTGTGGTTGAGGGGTACTAGTGCCTGAGTCTGCCGCCTCGGCGGCGGAAGGAGGCCCGGTGCCTTCTGCCGCCAAGAGACCGAAAATGTCGTCAACACCATCACCCAGCTCATGATGGGACGGTCCCCCTCGACTTTGTTGTTTTCATTGCTACACAGGGGGATCCGTGCCTGTTGCGGTTCCGCGTATTCTCCGAGTATTTGGATGCTGAGGTATGTTCGCCATTGTTGTCAGTTGCTTCGATCATCAAGGCCAAGGCTAAGAGGTCGAACAACGCTTCTTAGATTTACTTTCCCACAGTAACGAATGCTTTGCGCTTGTACTTGCATATCGTTGTGTGAATCGCTCAGAATAATATTTTTATTTGGGAACTGACCACTTAGTCCTCTCAGAGGCTGAAACTCAGCCTCAAGCATAGCTCCCAAGTTGGGAGTCCCAACTTCTTGATGCGCTTCGCACCGTGCGAATATCCATGGTGTTGAAGTTTGTACGCCTCACACAGATTCATGCTCCACCTGGCTCGCTTCTACTCGGATGGACTTCGCCACGCTTCTCTTGCCAATAGCATCCTCGGATATAATATTCTTAGCAGATCGTGGCTCCACTCTCCCACAGAAGAACAGTTGTGATTCCAGGAGTGCAACCAGGTCCATAGACTTGCGTGACACCCTGTTTGAATCTTCGCGTAAAATGGGACACATCTAGACGGAACTGCAGACCCGGATTCTTCCTCTGCCACGAAAGCATCGACTGAGCATCACGCTGCGTGACCACGGTGAGTCACGCATCTAATCCTTATACGTTCGTCTCGGTGACTGACGCCTGGTCTCAGAGACAACAAGAGTTCTGTTGGTCGGAGGTTGGCTTTTGTCCGCGTAATTTGCATGGCTGAAAGAAGACGCTATAACGCTCACATGAGAGTTCCAACTTGGTTGTGCGTTGGCTGCGTAAGGAACTTAAGATAACCGGGGCCAAGGCTGCTGGTGAACTGGCCGCCGGCAGGGAAACACTCACAGTTTTTCACGGAGCTTCTTACTCGCAATCCAAAGTGCAATCTCACTCGATCGGGCGTATTTTGTTCCTTCACCAGGGCTTTCCTTGACATCAACGATGCAGATATCCCTCTTGGTGGCTGTGAGAGGCATTGCTTGATGACTACTACTCAGGGAAGACGATGGATCTAGCTTAGTCCAATACTGGTCACATACAAAATAAGACTCGAATTTTTGGAAGTGGACCGGGATACCACCACTCCTTAACAATCGAGCTGATCTCTTCCATCAGTGTCGATGAGCTAATGCTAGTGACGCGTGGAAATGAGAATATGACACTGTGGAACGCTTTTTCGAATCCACGCAGAGATAAAGCAATTATATTCCCTGCCGCTCGTAAACTCTATAAGTCGCCTCTGCGAAGCCTCCTTGCGACAAATCGTGCTCTGGTGATCGTGAGGAA